ACTCGAACTTATTGAATGCTCATATAGTCTTCGCTTACTCCCCAAAACCGACTACTAATTCTCACGCCGGAGGTACAATGGGGGAAAAAGCCCCGACCTCATTTTGCAGGTAACATTCGTTGATCGGAGCAACTGGAACACCCCACACGTTATCATTATCGTGAAGGTAAATTTTGTGATCATTTCAAAAGCTAATTAGAAATTGTAATAGGTGGTACAAAAATAAATTTCATTTTCCGATGTTAATGCAAGTCAATATCTGCTTCCTTGTCTTGAACAGATTGGCCAAACAAGGAAAAAAAATGGAAAACGAAAAAACAAAAATAATGATTTTGCACAAAGTCATTTTCAAGTCCCAAGTCAAAATCACTATCCACACTCTTTCCCGTGCTGGCATGACATTGGAAGGTTCCTGAAAATGAGTTACAAGCTCAATTAAATAAATAGTATGACATTCCATTTAAATGAATCTATCATTTAATGTTATATAATTATCATCTAGATTTGTACTTAACATTACTGTTTATCAGAACCTCGATTCTTCAAAAAATAATAAAATTGGCTTATTATTTCCTTGGTTGGCCTAACTTAGGATCTTTATAGCAATGAATTATGCTAGTGTACAAACTAGGTTCATAAACTTGATTTACAAACTATGTGTTGGCAACATCTAAGCCAATAATTTCAAAAACAATTTTGTCAATCAATGAAAACCAATGGTCTAGATATTGCCGACACTTATTATGTAAACAAACAAAGTTTGTACAACTCTATTAATTGTTATAGCGATACCGTTGAAAAAATAAAACGAATTCAATAGGGTTAATCCCATTGATTGCTCGAGGTGTTAGATATAGAATTACTGATAAGTGTGATTTCAAACTTTTTCTACTTTCACTAGCAAAATTCATTAATCTTTTGAATTCTCTCTTAATATTGATACAACTCGTTCTGTATTTGTAATCCTCTCTGTTTGTAATCCGTTTATTATTCGACTTACACCACTTAGAAAAAGTTTTTACTCTTTAATTGTATATTTTCTTATTTTACATAATGGATCTTTTATAATTTTTTAGATACATTAACAAATTTGATTTTTCAAATTTTCATAACTTTTTCAATTAACCCTAAAAAATCAGCTTTCGAAACTAAAATGTTTTTAAAGGGCCAAGCAGCTCACAAGTTGAACCCGAAAATTAGCCGATGGTTCGTAGTTGGCTTGCAGCTAAATTCGTCTATTACTAACCCTACTCGAACTTAAGAAATCGGAGAGATAAAAATAATAGTTTGCACCTACCTTAAAATATAGAGACCATAAGTCATGAGCCCGATGAATCAAGATATGACATATACCTTGTTAATTGCTTAATTAATTTAGTCTTTGTAATCCTCTTAAAGATGCTAATGACATCACCCACGAAGTCTTTCTTGACGTGCGGTTCACAAGCAAAAATTAGGAGACCATCCATATTCGGGTTGAATATCAGTGTAGGTGACAATTATATGTCATTAAATGATAGATTCGTTTAAATGCAAAATCAAATTACTCATTTAATTAAATATATCATTTAATATAATATAATTATCATTTAAATTTGTGCTCAATCCAGTGGGGATGAATAACATACTCTATTTAAAACGTCATCCGAACCCAACCCAACCCAACCAACCCCACATGCTTACGTTCATTCATTCTACCCACCAATACTCTCCCATTTCTAATTAAAAAAAAAAGAGTTGTGCTACGCATGCATCTATCAATTTATTTGTACAAAATTATATGTAAACGTAGAATTATTGAAAAAATAATCCCATTTGATACCAATTCTTTTTCACTCATCTACACTAAGGCCATGTTTGTCCTCTTTTAAAAAATTAAATTGTTTACTACAGTATCATTTTTTCATCACACGTTCACACAATAAAATATTCTAAACACAAACAAATAAAATTTTCTTACTTTTTAACCACATATTCTTCAAAAATTACCATTCCATAACTCATTATTCCCAAATAAACTCTATCAAACATGCCTGAAATATATTAAATATATTAATTAACTTGTCCCTACCTAGACTGAACCCCCAATAAAAGCAACCATTTTTCTCCTTTCATCTCCTCATAAAGTAAACTCTTTCTTTCTTCTGTACCATTTTCTGATCATCAGAAAAAATGTCTTCAATCTTGACCTCTCAAGGCATGGTTTTGGCTACAGCCATGGCTGTTTCTGGTACTTTCATTCTTCTCGCTCTTCGACTCCAAAAATCCCCCTCGACTTACGAGCTTTCGGAATCTCCTCGATCTTGCCTCTCATCAGGTATGCACATGTTCTTTTCTCATTTACACAGTATTAGATAAGACTCGACAGTACTTTTATGCATGTATTTGCATGAACAAAAGGGAAGAAGAAGGAGAAAAAGAAGAAGAAGAAGAAGAGAGTGCATTTTGCAGAAGATGTGGTGGACCCAGTTGGGAACAGTGATGAATACAGAAGATCACATAGTAATAATTGTGCAAAAATTAATTTGGAGTCAAATTCAAAGGCAAGTGGGAAACTGCAAGAAATGCCAGCAAATAGAGTGGCACTATACAATGGAATTCTTAAGGAACGAGTGCTTCGTAGGGTGGCCTATTCGTGTTGAGTTTTGGATGTGAATTTTGTAAATTTTTGTAAACTCTTTGTTTTTCTTAAACATATTGTACAGAATTGTGGTATTTTTTTCTTTTGGTCTTGGCATAATTTACGTGTAAGAGGCCCGTACTTAAATTGAATATGAACCGGTATCGATTTGGTCTGGTAGTTTGGTTTGTTTCTGGAACCAAAATTTTGAAAAAAAAAAAAAAGTTTAGTGGCAAAAATAAAAAAGGTCAATTACTTAATTGGGCCATGATAATTTTTTTTAAAAAAATAATTCAAAATAAAAATAAAATAGAAATGGTTTCGGTTCTCAATTCTGGATCTAGAATCAAAATCGGTTGATTCTTGGTTTCAAGAACCGAAACACGAAATTATTTTCAAAATCGAACTGACAATTTGTTTATATTCTAATGGTTTTGATTCTTTTATCCACGCCGAGGATCAATCATACAAATGAGACAAGACAGTAGCTATTATATATAGATTGTAAGTTTGTAAATTGTATATTTAAGTTAAATGATGGAGACGGAAAGATAAAATCGACCCATTCAACATATTGCATATAGTGAATTTAATGAAATTAGTTCTAATATTATTAATGTTTCTATTGTCTTACTATTTAAAGACTCTAGTTTGGCTCTTGAGGGTGCAAAAAGACCTTGTAACATGACAACCATAACCCATGTGTGCACAATAAATTTTTCTACTTTACAACTAATTAATAATAGTCAATAATTGGTGTGGTCGCTGTTGACTTGAATATACTCAACTTATTTAGTATATTACATTGAATGAGACAATACATTAATAAAGAATGTAACGCATGCAACAGAATTACACAATGTTACATGACGTTCTACCATTTGTCAGTTCAAAATACAACCAATTCCTTCATCAAATATTTTTCCTCCACATTACACACACACAGAGAGAGTGATATCTAAAGGTAAGGATATATTTAATAATCCTCTCTTCAACTCAACACTCGCATTTTCGTCGATTGAATCTCTCTCACGTCTAAATATATTCTCCTTCATCTGACCAGAGCTTTAGATTACTTGTGATTGTCGCACCCGTTAGAACTATGATCACGTGCAGTCTAATGCTGTTGTCCAACTGGACGAGAGTAAAATTGTGATATATTGACAATTGAGTCCCATCATAACCAAAACCATATTTCCAATGGAATGAACCTTTAAATTCTAATTAAACCACAAACACTTGTAAAGGAATAAGAAACAAAATATGAAATAATAATAATTCTTTAAATAAAGTTACAAAGCAATGAACAAGACTTAAAAATAGCTAAAGCCTAAATGTATGTTCCCATTAAGTGAACCACGTACATTGGAAGTGGAAAGTGATACATTCATCCATAGAAGGTTTTAAATAAATTAATTATGATAATAATAAAATTTAATGATCCATAAAGATGCATGACATATTCGAATCCAATGTTTTGGGATCCATGTTTATGACTTCACCTACTTTTAAACTATTGTTAATAAATAGCGTGCTTTCTTTTAATAATCAATTTCTTATAAGTGATTCTTTGACACGCTTGTATTTAAAAGTAAAAGCCTGTTTGGTTTAGATTAAAATTCAATTAAAATTTCAAGTCAAAGTCAACAATTAATATTAACCACACATTTTATGGGATCCACTACTTTTTAACCACACATTTCATCAATTTTTATTAAAATCTACTAAAAATCTGATTTTAATCTCTACCAAACATTGGCTAAATAAGAGTAATGGTTTTTTTTTTTTTTTTTTTAAGTGCTCATATAAGGGCCCATTTTACTGGACTTCAATTTCACTTTCTATTTTTTGTAAAAGAATTTTTTTGAAATACCAACACCAGATTAATTTTCTCTAAAAGCTTTTCTTATCGGCCAAAGCACTTTTAAAAAATAATCCAAATTTATTCAAAAAGAAGTTGCTCAATCTTATAAGTAGATTTTAACTTTTCAAAAATCATGCCAAAATAACCCTTATAAAGTATATTGAAATTTTTAAAATTTATATTTTTCTATTTTGTTTAATATTGTAATATTACACATGGTCTAATTAGTGCAAGGTTAAATTAATATATAAAGAAAAAGTAACAATAAAAATCTCACTATCACGTTTGCCTTCTATTTCACCGACACTAACATTTTTAATACTAAAAGTGACGAAAACATGATTTTTTAAAAGTCTAGACTAAGCAATTGAGAATTGACACTTTTCATCAATTTGTTTCTCTTTACAATTATGCTCCTTGGACAAAAATTGCTGACAAGGAGGGGGTGACAGAGTGTGGTGACAGGGTGGGATTGAGTGTTGTATTTTTTTTTTTTTTTTTTCCCAAACTGTCACATCATATATTGATACGTTTTCCCTTTTGTCGTTGTGCTTGTTACTATAATAGGGGTATTTTCTTTATACCCACAAATAGAAATAGCTTATCTTAAGCCTTTGATTAGCAACTCTAGACGGTTTCATTGGATCGTAGACAATGGTAGGATTCTTTACAATTATGCTCATTGGACAAAAATTGCTGACAAGGAGGGGGTGACAAGGTGTGATGACATGGTAGGACTGAGTGTTGTATTATTATTATTTTTTTTTCCAAACTGTTCCATCATGTATTGACACGTTTTCCCTTTGTCGTTGAGCCTATTACTGTAACATAGTTATTTTCTTTATACCCACAAATAGAAATAGCTTATCTTTTGCCTTTGATTAGCAACTTTAGATGGTTTGATTGGATGGTAGACAATGGTAGGATTCTAATTTTGATTTAGTATCATAAAATAAGAAAGTAAAAAAGAATAGGTTTAAGATAAGTACTAAACTTCTCTTACCAATAATTATGTTAATCTTCCTTAGTAATCAATGGATGTGATGACTTCTATTAATATCACTTTTGTCAATTTTTTATTACTAGAAGCATCCATTAACAAGCAAGCCTATGCCCCTTTAATAATTAAGTATTAAAGTCAAGATCATGAATCATCCCTCTGAAAATAAAAGTTATTTTTACCGACAAATATTTAGATCAAAAGACAGACATCTCAAATTATTTAAGGTTTATTTCTTTTTTTATATTTGAGAGTGTCGGCATTTTTGTGACTTTATCGATGATCATCACATGATTTCATTATGTACTTCATTCATTGTTTTTTTTGTGACTTTATCGATGATCATCACATGATTTCATTATGTACTTCATTCATTGTTTTGTATACGCAATGCTGTTTCTTTGATAAATTTTACAGACATCTCTCTAAATTATTGTCCTTAATTTTGATTGCAATCAATAATTGTCGAGCTAAAATTTTTTCAATGTAATATGCAACTTTTCCTATTTCTAATTTCAGGGTTCCGTGAGATTAATTTACGTGCGCGCAAGTTGACTCGAACATCCATGATTATTAAAAAAACTAGTAGTAACAATTTCAAAGAAGTGACCAATTCATCTTGTCCAAGTTAACCAAAGATTGTTGTTTTTCAACTGAGGTCAATGATTAAATGATTAAAACCTCTCTCCTCTCCACTTCTCTACAAAATAATAAATAATAATAACAATAATAACAATAAAAATAAAAATAAAAATGAAAAAATAAAAGAAGAAGTGGTGGGGTAAAGTGTAGATTTAATGTCAAGCTATATATTCATAGAAGTTAATGATTTAGTTGATATTTATAGATTTTATTTTGACAAATTATATTATCTAATTGTCTGTTTGTGATTTTGTGTTGCTATTCGTACAATTGAAAAAGAAAAAAAACATAATATCACCAAGACAAATTGGAGGTTGGTAATCGACACAAAAAATACATAAGACGTTTTTATCGATATTTTTTAATTGTAGTTATTAGCCTCAACTCGATTATTGACACCAGACACTTTTCATTGGATCACTCGTTGAACGGATGGATCACTGCTAAAAAAATTCTAAAAAACTTTTCAAAGTGCAAAATTTTCCGTTTGAGACAAAATTAAAGTTTTTAAATTAGTAGTCACTAATTATTTATGTTAATAAAGTATTAATATTGTTTAAACTTAATTGTTGCTATAATATTTACATTTTACTTTTATAATTTCTTATGATATGAAATTTGTAATAAAATTCGCACTGTTTCCATTTTTGTTATGTACTAAAAGTTTATCAATTATCAACTAAAAACTTTTGTGTAAAAAAGTTTTCAATTCATCTTAGCTAAAAATAACTTCTGACGAATTCATAAAATAATTTATGATATTAAAAACGAATAACATAATTTTTACTTGATTATTCATTTTATTACAATATGTTGGAATATTTTCTTTTTATGAAACCTTTATATATATATATATATGAGAAAATTTCATATTTCAGGTGTATGGTTTACACCAATTCAAAAGTTAGGTAGATAGTTTAACAATTCAAAACTCCAGTATTAGATAATTAATTAAAAACATTTATTAATTAGGTCACAATTATACAATTAATGATTACATATACATAATTATATGTCACAATTTATTTATTGGTCACATATTATCAAATTAATTAGTCACTGATGATTTCGATGTCACAAATTCAAAAAATTATAGGTCACAGTTAATTTCATTGGTCACATATTTTCAAATTTGTTAGTCACAGATTATTTTTCAGTCACATATTGTCAAATTCAAATTTGTAGTCACGGATTATTTTTCAGTCACATATTGTCAATTTTATAGGTCACAATTAAATACTTGGTCACAGATAATCAAATACTTGGTCACATACCATTGACACTACCACTTCAGCCACTTTTGACCACCCTCACCCCGCCGCCTCCATCATCAACACAGCCACCAACAACACGGCCACCGCATCCAACCACACACTATCATCACCACCACCAACCAGATTCGAACCCACCAAACACCACATCTGCACCACGTTGTAACCATCACTGCACCACGCTGTCGCCACCATTGCACCCACAACACCACCCAACAAAAAAAATCACGTCACACCACAACCAC